GAGGGAACGCTCTATAGAGGCGGCGATCCTACTAGTAACGGAACTAGTACGCGCGACGTAGGCCCGGAGGGGCATTATATTATTCCTATAGCTAGACATTAAGGGCGCATTTAACATAGTTAACTATAATAAGCTTATAAGGGAACTAGAGCTTAGGGGATACCCTAGGTAGCTTACGAGCCTAATACTAAGCTTCGTAAGCGATAGGAGATCGACCCTTTACTTCGATAAGAGGACCTTAGAGCTAACTTAAGTGCTAACGGGAGTCCCCTAGGGCTCCCCCCTATCCCCGATCCTATTTCTATACTATATAACCCCCTTATATAAAAGGCTTAGCACGATATATAGTATTTATACCGTTAGCTTCGCCGACGATATAAATATAGTTAGTATCGGACCTGATAAGGCTACTACGGTAGCACGCCTAGAGGAAGCTTAGAGGGTATACGCGGAATAGGCGACCGAGTTCGCGGTTACTTTCGAACTATTAAAGAGCGAATTACTATACTTTATACGAAGGAGATAAGCGATAACGACGCTAGTCCGCCTTAGGGCTAATATAGTAACCCCGGTCTAAGAGGCCCGCCTACTAAGGGTTTAGGTATACTAGAAACTACGCTAAAAGGCGCACCTAAAATAACTCCGAGCGAAGTTAAAGCGCTAGACTATAGCCCTAACCGGGCTTACGGCGTCTACGTAGGGCTATACCCTACTACGCGCTAGGGAAGTCTATAGTAAGGTAATCCGGTCCCTAATCTCCTACGCTATAGTTATATTCTATAAGATAACGCCCGCGGGGGGGAAACTACGCGGAATCGCGCGGGACCTTACCCGGGACTAGTTAGCTTGCCTTTAGGTAGTAATAGGTGCCTACCGCGCGACCTTAGTCTACTAAGTCGAAGCGGAGGCGTAGGTGCCCTTAATCGACCTCTACCTAAACTAAAGAATAACGGATACCCTCTAGAGGCTAAAAGACTTAGGGCTCTTAGGCTAAATCCGACGCGCGTCTAACGCGGTCGCGGGCATACTTAAAAGGAGGCGACGCTAGGGAGAGGGTAGACCCCCGGCGGCACTACCTCTAGGCAGACCCCCCCTCGCGGAGGAGATAAGGGGGGTCTAGAGCTAGATAGGAACGGACGACCTCCTAGATAAAGCTAAGTCGCTTAAAAGGCTAAACGAGGAATAGGCCGCCCGATAAAACGCTAGGGAAGACGTAATTTAATAATACTAGACTACCCTCTACCCTACCGACTTCCCGCCTCGGTTCGATAAGGCGATAACGCTAGACCGTTACGAGGGCCTCCCTAAGTATATTAGCACGGCAATTACCTAGATACGTATAGGAAAGATCGGGCTTAATAACTTCCTCTTCGACCGATAGGTCCCCGGCGTAGTTTCGCTAATATATACCTACGGATAAAGATAGGACACTATCTACTATACGATAATCGACTATCTACTAACGGTAGAGGTAAGGGAGTCCCTCTTAATACGGGCCCGGGACGTAGGTAATATAAGAGCGGGCCTTTAAGGGAAAAGGACTATAGCGCCGCTAGCGCAATAGTTCCTCCGCTTAGGCAGGCTCCGCTAGTTCGACCTAGCTTAGAGGCTATATATAGATATACCGGATAATAGAACCGGGGTCGCGTTAGGGATAGAGCGGCCCTAACTAGGACCACCCTAGCTAACTACCTCCCCTACTAGGGCGACCTAGAAAGGGAGAGGACTTACGATTATAGGACTATAGCTTCGACTAAACCGGACCTAGACTAGGCGTAAACCTCGCCGATTAAACTATAGACTAAATAGAACTAATATAACCTAACCGAACCGACCTTAATAGCTATAGAATAAGACCTACTACCGAAAGACTATAACCGAATAAGACCTAACCTAGAACCGAACTAAGACGGAGCTAATAACTAGCCCCCCCTAAACCACGACCCTAGCCTAGCTCGTCGGCAGCAACGTCCGCCTCGTTATCGCGGCGGGAACAACGAGACCCCCTTAAGGTAGCACGCGGAGTATAGGAGGGAGTAACCTAAGGCTTACGAGGAGTACGGGGACTACTACCGCTACGAGAACCCTAACGATAACCGAACGGACTTAACCCTAAACCCAAACTAGAGCTAGCTTAGACGGCTAGCTTACGAGATAGAGTAACGACTAGGGTCTATACTAAGGTAGGACCTATACCGGCGGCGGTATAGAGGCGTTCGCTACGGCCTATACTATAACTATAGATCTAATCGAGGTTAAGACTAGTAATAATCTCGGCTAGGACCGAACCGCGACGGCTATAAAGACGCTACTAGACGAAGTCGGGAGCGTTAGTAGGATCGGTAGGCGACGTAAAATAGGGACGCTTTAGGGCGGGCTCGGCGCTAGGAGAACTACCGGGCTATAGCTCGGCGTCGGAGGGAGACGCGGTTAGCTCCTAAGCCGGCTCCGCGACGGCCGTAGGCATAGATACCTTAACCTTAGCCTTAGATAGGGCCTTAGACGCGGCTGCCGCCTTGCCCTTACCTTTACCCTTCCCCTTATCGACGGGGATTAGGGCTAGAATAGGCCTAGTAAGACTAGTAAGATTAAAGCCGCTATCCTCTACGTCGGGGCTATTGCTAGCAATAGGATAGAAATAGTCGGCGAGATCGTTAACCGCTATAAGAGTCTTCTAGGCGACTAAGAGCGACTTAGGCCCGACCTAGGCTAAGGTCTTAATAGCGTCGCTAAACTTACCTAAGTACTTCTTTAGGGACTCGTATATATAGCGGGTATTATCTACGAAATAGGTAAAAGCCGACGCGAGCGTTTCTATATTCTTAGCGACCGTAGCTAGACCGGGGGCAGACTCGCCCGACGCGCCCTTACCCTTAGCGGTAGGGGCCTTCTAACTAGCGCGAATACGAGTTTCTAGAGTAGCACGATAAAGGCGCTCCTATACCGAACCCTTAATAAGGGAAGGGCTATTAACCTCGGACTATGCCTAGTAAAGGGCACTAGCGGCCTCCTCGCCGTCGGAGGTAATCTAGAACTCGGATTAGCACCGAACTCGGATAGCACTATAGCGGGAAGGGGTTACTTACTCGGTAATAAGACTAGTTAGAGTCGGCGTAAGCGATATACGCTTTAGCCTTTATAGCTATTAAAGTTAGTAAAAATACTAAAGGTAGGACCGACCTAGGATAAAGCCGGGATTAATATATATAAGACTAGTTCTAATAGCCGGCGAAGGACTTATAGGTAAGCTTACTAGTAAGACGCCCGATATATATAAAATATAAGATAGAGCGCTCCGATCCCGCTACTATAGCGACTTTCTTACGAGGAGGGGGTTTTAGAGGAGGCGAGCTACTACTACCTAAGTCGGCTTCCTAGTTAGACATTAAGACGCGACGACGAGCGAACTAGATACGGTATTAAGGAGACCCGGAGTTATAGAAACGAGGCGGGCGAGGTAGTAGTTAGGCCTACGAAAGAGATAGATAATAAAGGGATAGGAGGAGGCACGTATAGAACCGGGGGGGGAGGGCAGGTATATATAGGCGCGAGCCGGGCGCGTAATTAGTAACTACGAGATAGAGGGTAAATATAGCCGCCGCGCCTTAATCGGAAGTCGCGTGGCCGGACGGGAACCGATTTACGATTAGCGGAGCCGGCCGACCGAATTTCGATTAGCCGGCCCTACCTAGGAGCGACCTATACTAGCGCCCGGCCCGGCAACCGGACATTACCTGCCCTACTAACCAACGGACTAATAAGCCGACGTAACCGCGGCTACGCGGCTATAACGCGGGAGCTAGGGTAAATAGAGGCGCCCGCGAGTTCGGCCCCCGGAGAGAGACTACTGCCTATAACCCTAGGCCCGGGCTAGCGAGCCCGGGCCGCGGCCGCTCGGGATAGTAGCGGCCACGGCCCGAGAGGGCCCGCGCCGAGACGCGATTACGCGGGAGGAGCCCGCGGTAGCCGGCGTAAATTTCCTATATACTACTACTACGACCTCGTTCGAGGCGGACCCGCACTAAAAGAGGGGAGGGTTTTCCCCTAGGCACTTTAGTTTTTCCCTCTTATTTAATATTAAAGTTCTAGATACCTCTAGCTAGGTCCCTAGCGTAATCTTAATAATAATAATATATTATATCCGTTTAATACTTTATATTCTTTTATCTATTTTAAGATCTTTTAATATATTAAGTTATTAAGTTATACTTTAAATATTATATTTAGCTATTATTACTAGTTATTCTTATTTTCTTTAATTTCTAAGAGCTATCCTTTTACTATAAGTGCTCTTATATCGTAGTTACTTTATCGACTAAGGGTATTAGCTTAACTATTTTCTATTCTTTTTCTATAGATTATTTTATAGTTAAATTCTAATAAATATTCGGCCTATTAAATCTATTATCTATTAAACTATTATATAGTTATAAAGTATAAGATATTTTTATAATCTATATAAACCTTAACTTTATACTTACTTTTAAGAAGGTAGTATTAAAATTCCTTAAAAGCTTAAATAATTATAAGGAATTCTTTATTATAGATAAGGTAATTAAGTTCTATACTATTTAGTTTTTTCGAGTAGAATATAATTAGTCGTAGTCTTCCTTTATTATCCTTTTATCCGATTTATACTCTTAGAGTAAAGTCTAATATATTAGTTTTAAGTTCGATTTATTATTTTAGATTAAAGGTAGTTAAGACTAGTTCTTATATAATTATAGTCTTAATATATTTAAAAGCTTTATTAGCTTTATCGTCTTATATAAATTCTTTTTCCTTCTTTATTAAGTTATATAGTAGTACTATAATCTTTCTAAAATCTTTAATAAATTATTAGTAGTAATTTATAAATCCTAGGAAACTTTATATATCTTTAACGTTCTTTAGTATTAGCTATTCTTTAACTAAGTTAATTTTATCTTATTATATTTATATCTCTCTTAGTAAGATCGTATATTTAAGGAAGTCTACTTCCTAAGTCCCTGCACATAGAAATGGGCACCCCCCTGTTTTGGGCACCCAAGATGGGTGCCCAACCTAAACGGCTGCGTCAACTTCAACAGCAAATTTCACCGCGGAAACGCATCCAATCTGCTAAAAAATTGACGCATGTGTCTTCAAGCCACTACTGATGAAATATACAGAGTCTGACATTCACAGCGCCCTTGAGGCAATCGCCAATGGCGGATCCGCCAAGAAGGCTGCTCGCGATTGGGGCGTCCTGAGGGCAACTTTACAATCGCATGCATGGTCACGAATGCAGAAAGGATGCATTTTCTGCTCTTCAGAGGCTTTCTCAGACACAGAAAAGCAACTTACCGAATGGATTCTCATTCAGGACGCCTTGGGCCTTCCTCCCACTCACTCGCAGATCAGGCAGTTCGCGCAGCATGCTCGCCGTCAAAGGAGACCACACACCGCTCGGAAAACACTGGATGCAAGCATTTTTAAGACGAAATCCTGCAGTTCGGACCCAGAAGTGCCATCACAGAGACTCTGCGTGTCAACGGCGCTTCTACCGAGGTAATTCGGCCTTGGTTCAACAATTTCTTCCTTCCGAGATTCTGGCTATTAAGCCGGAGAACAGGTACAACATGGATGAAGCAGGCATCATGGAAGGACTTGGGGAGAATGGCCTGGTCGTTGGCAGTGCTGAAAAACGATCTGTACAAAAGAAGACGCCTGGTTCTCGGTCTGGACGTCGTTCATCGAGTGCGTGTCCGCTGCCGGCACCTTCCTCCCTCCACCCGTCATTTTCAAGGGCAAATCGGTCCAGCAACAGTGGTTCCCAGAAGATCTCAGTACTTTTAGTGACTGGCAATTCACTGCGACAAAGAACGGCTGGACTTCGGACCAAACTGCGGTGGAGTGGCTCGAAAAGGTGTTCATTCCAAGAACCCAGCCACCCGACCCTTCGGAGCGAAGACTGCTAGTATTGGACGGCCACGGAAGTCACGAGACGGTTGACTTCATGTATCTATGCTACCAGCATCAGATTCACCTTCTTTTCTTACCTCCCCATACCTCTCATGTGCTGCAACCGCTCGATTTGTCTGTCTTCTCCGCTCTTAAGCACTACTACCGCAAACAGGTCGGATTTCTCAGCCTCCTGACCGATTCAAGCCCAGTCGGCAAGCAAAACTTTCTTTCCTGCTACCAGAAAGCACGCGAGCAAGCGCTCACTGTGTCAAACATCAAGGGTGGCTGAAAGCGACGGGTTTGTGGCCGGTGTCGATGGCGAAGCCACTTTTGAGCCCTCTTCTGCTGGAGAACAGCAACAGACGCAAAAGAACGCGAAAAATGTGGCCAATGCATTCAATAGCCACTTACCCACCAGTGACTGGCAATCAGACACATCCCAGATTGCGTGGTCGACCCCGAGGCGCTCGCAAGATCTGAAGGTTCAGGTAGTTCAATTCAACCAGCTAGACGACGACGTGCCCACGAAGAGATTGCTGTTCAGGAAGATCACAAAGGGTTTGACGAGAAGGATGGCCTTTTAGCAAAAGCTCAATTGCAGATTCAGGCACTGGAAACACAATTGGCGGCCGTCAAGCCGAAAAAGGAAGAGGGTGGTCACGAGCCCGAATTCGAGGTTCGCCAATATTGAGGCAATACGACGGGCGCAGGAGGAGGTGAACGCAGCTGAGAATGAAGAATCTGATGAAACCGAAGCTGAGGTTTCAGAAATAGGTGACGATTGTATCGTAGTGCACGGTGGTGGGCAGTGAGAAGGGATTGAATTAATGGTGTTGAAAATGGTCGTGATTTTTTTGGGGTGCCCAAAACAGGGGGGTGCCCATTTCTATGTGCAGGGACTTATATATAGAACTTACTTTTCTTTAGTTTAACTAGTAACTTTATATTTTAAAGTACGCGGAGTACTTAATAAATATATTCCTTATATTCTTCTAAGGTATTTAAAAAGATTAAGATATTATCTAGGTATACTACTATAAAGATATCTAAGTATTCGTATTAGATATTATTAATTATCTATTAAAAGGTAGCTAGTATATTTATAAGTCTAAATAGTATTACTAGATATTTAAATAATCTAAATTTCGTTTTAAAAGCTATTATCTACTTATATCCCTTTTTTATACGTATTAAGTTATAAGCGCCTTTAAGGTTAAGGGCTATAAACTATTTTTTACTATATAGTTAATCTTATAGTTTTAATATAAGCGGTAATAGTATTTAGTCCTTTATTATAATATCGTTTAAGCGTCTATAGTTAATAACTAGTTATAGCTTACTATTTCTCTTTAAAATAAATATAACTAAGTAGCTTACTTTAGATATTAACGTTTATATATATCCCTTTTATAGATTCTTATTAAGGGAGTTATATAGCGTTTATACTTATTTTTTATTTAAGTTATAAATCTTATAGAACGTTAGCGTTATTTTATCCCTAAGATAAATTTTATAGTCCTATTAGCTATATTTCAGTAACCCTATCTTAAGTTCTTCCTTAAAGAGTTTATTATATTTCTAGTATTCTTAAGGGATATTCTTTATTTTATTTTATAGGCTTTAATTTTTCTCTTAAGAGCTAGTTCCTTTTAACTTAAGCTCTTTATTAATTTATTTAAGGTCTTTCCTTAAAGTAGTAATAACTCTTTAGATCTTTATATTATATCCTTTATTTTATTTATATTAAATACTAGGTTATATAGCTATATTAGTTAGTACGTAGGTCTTATTAATCGATTTTATATCTATTAGTTTAGTTATAATTTTCGTTTATATTACTAAAGCCTATAATAATTTACTTAAACGGTTATCCTTTTTATCTTATTTAGTAGCTAAATTATTATAAAATTTTACTTTTTTCCTAAATCTATTAGTCTTAGAAACTTATATCTTTATTTTAATATAGCTAGCTAGTTTTCTAGTTAATTAATAGGTTACTCTCCTATAGCTATAAAAGCCTTAATATAAGGTTATATTCTTTAATATTTATAATATTAAAGTTAACTTATTTATTATAGCCTTAAATATTAATATTAAGGTAACTAATCTCTATATTAATAATTCTATTATTATAGTTAAAGGCCTCTCCTTTAATATTAGTAAGTTTATATAGATCCTTCTTATATTTCTATATAAGTTAGTAACGATTAACGACTTTAAGTAAAATATAATTACCTATTATATTATAATCTAAAAGTATATACGCGTAATATCCCGCGGTTTAAATATCTAATACTATTTAGTTACTATAGCTTACTATTACTATATATAGGGTCCTTAGATCTTATTATATCGTGCTAGTCTATAGCCCTTTTATAGATAGTATACCTTATTTTTTACTTAGTCTTTATTCGTTTTATTTAGGTATTCTTCTTTAATTTAGTATTAATATTATTTCTTTATATTTTTATCGCGTAGTATTATATTAGGGCTTAAGAGACTAATTTCTTATAGCTAATTAAAGATTTCTTATTTCTTAACGCTATATTATTTATATTATATTACTTTATAGTTAATTATATACTATACTTTATAATTCTATTTATTTTTATACTAAAGGTTAAGTTTTTATTTAGCGTCTTTTTATTTTTTTATTTTAGTATTTTTATATTAATATTTCCTTAGTTAAATATAGCTTATAGCTTTTATATATATTAGTAATAATCTTTTAGTATACTATTATATTATTTATACTATACTTATACTTTTTTATATTTATAAACTCTATAGTTTAAGTATATATATTTATTATAATCTTCTTTATTATATTTAACTTATTATATAAGCCTTTAAAAGATTAATAGTTTAAATAACCCTCGTAGTATAGTAGTTATATACCTAGGAAGCCTACTAGCTATAACGCTAGAGTCGGTTCGAATCCGGCCGGGGGCACGATTAATTTTTAGTCGGACTAGTAGACTACGCTAACCTACTTATTAATTAGCTAATCAGCGCTTCTAGAAGCGCTTATAAATACACTAGCAGTCTAGCCCCGCTATAAGTGGGCCGGCCCGGACCTCGCCTACCCGGACCTAGCGACGAATTCGTTAGGACCTCCCCCTGACCCCGGTCCGGGCCCCCCGACCGGGAAAACAAAAACCCGGGGCCGATACTAGTAACTCGATAAGTACGGCGCGAAGCCGGTGCGACAACCCGACTACCGGCCCGGCTAAAGGCCGGCATTAATAAAAATAGCCCGCTAAGCCTTACGGCGGAAAAATAAGGCAGAGCCCGGGAAGATATCGCTATAGGATAAGGTCGGAGATAATTATATAATTAACTATTAACCGTTAACTAAAAAAAAGCTCGTACTACCGATTAATGCTATATACCCCGCGTACGTAAAGGAGTTACTTTCTAAGGTTACTTTATAGCGGGGCTAATGCGATTCCGACTAACTATAACGATACCTAAGATAGCCGGCGTAAGATTCCTATATATTATAACCGCGACCCGGTATAAGGGCGGACTAGCTACGAAAGAAGGGAGGGTTTTCCTTTAAGCACTTTAGTTTTTCCCTCCTATTTAACGTCGAAGTTCTAAATACCTCTAAATAGGTTACTAGTATAATCTTAATAATAATAATAATAATAATAATAATAGTTTAAATACCTTAAAGTAAGTAGCGTTATACTATTCCTTTATTTTAGCGTATTTATAGATTTTATATATCTCTAAAAGATATCTTATTAATAAACTATAATTATTATAGTATTTAAGTAGTATACTATAATTAGGTTCTAATAATATAACTTAGTCGTTTAAGTAGCGTTAATCGATTTTCTACTTATTTAGTTCTATACTTAGGTAGGGTTTCGAAAGTACTTATCCTTTAAACCTAACTAAGAAGGTATTATATTATACTTTTATCTAAAAGTATATTATATAATCTAGGTAAACGTATAATATTTATAAAATATACTTATAGTACTTATAAGTAAGTAGTATTTATAGATTATTTCTAAATTCTCCTTATAGTTACTATTCTTATTATAGAGCTATAAAGGTATCGACTATAGTAATAGCTATAATATAGTCTCCTTTATATAGTACTAGTTAATATCGAATTAATATAGCTTATTAGTTTTCTATAAGAATTTAAAGCGTTTATTAGGTTTTAATTTTAAGTATTTCTTTAAATTCTTTAAAGTATAGAGCGTATTCTTTAATTATAGTATTCTCCCTTAGTAGCGAGGGTAGTAGTATAAGTTCGTTCTTATCTTCTATTTCTCTAGGTATTTCTTATTCTTTAAAGCTTATATCGTTAATACTTTATTATTCCTTTATAGGTTATTATCCGAGTTTTATAAGTATAAGGGCTATATCTATATCTTCTTTATTATATTATTTATAGACTACCTATCGTTATTATCGATTTTTATTTTATATATCTTCCTAGAATTATTTACTATTCTTCTTAATCTAGTCTTAAGAGACTCCTTTAGGATATAAGTATTTTAGTTCTATAAATTTAACTTATTTTTATATTTTAAGATCTCTTTATTATATTATTATAAGGGATTTCTTTAATAGCTTTAAGAACTATCTAGTACCGTTCTTATCGCTTAGGTATACTATATATTCGTCGTTATAATATATAGTCTTACTAAGGAGTTTATACTTTAGTTCTTATTTATTAGTAGTGTTTAGGTATTTCTTACCTTTTAGGGCTAGTACTTAGTAGGTTTTCTTCTCCTTATAAGGTTATTTATATTCTTTAAAGTAATATCTAAGTTTTCTATAGTTAAAATACTTTCCTTTACTTTTCTATATTATATTTAGATTTATCTTACCTAAGTTAGTTATATAGGTATAGGTAATAGGAGTTTCGCGCTTCTTTTTATAATTAGTATATTAGTTAAAGTTATTCCTATAAGAAGGGTTTTAGTTTCCTCTTTTTTATTTCTTTTCTTAGCGTTATATATATTATTTATTATCGATTTATACTACTATAACGATATAGTTTAAGAGGCCGTTAGGTCGATCTTCCTTATAAAGTTCGTCCTTAACTTCTTCCCTAAGTCTATTATAAAATCGAGATATAAGGGGTTCGTTATCCTATTTAAGTTTTAAGGTAACTTAATAGAATTTACTAGTATAGTTTAATACTAAGGTCCTTTATCGGAGTTCTTAAAGTTTCTATTCGGCTTTTTATTCTTTATTAGTTATTTTAAAGACCTTAGTAATAGCTTCTTTAAATCTTTAGAAACTAGTAAAGACTTTATCTAT